GGACGAATGGGGGCGTTTAGGGATGGAGGTGTTTGTGTTAAAGGAGCCAGAGGAAGATGAGGAGGAGGATAAGGAGGATCCAGGAGACTGGCCTTTGCTGTTGGATAAGGAAAGGGGTCCATGGTGGCCAAAGGTACTGCAGTCCTCTATGGAAACATTCAAACATGCCACAATGTCCCTGATCTCTTAGCATCACAAAACTAGTATCTTCAGTGTATAAATTAAAAAAGTATTGGTAAACCAGCTGAAATGGATACCATCCTTAACATTCTTCAACTATTATGTCTAACCAAAGTCAGAGTAGCTGTCAACACAATGCTCAGTAACTCTCACCAGCGTTTTCCTGCTCAACACTTTCCAAAGGGTCTGACTCTCTCCTCCCCAAAGTCTCTTTACAGCTCCTGGTCTTGCGTGAGATCATCTCATCATCTGTTCCATCACCACTGTCTCCCTGAGAACAGAATAGTGCATTATTTAAATCATATAGCTAAGCCAGGACAGCCTTTGTTGGCTCAAGGTTTTTCACTCCTTACCCTGACTAAGGCTTTCTTCTTCTTCTTGACGTTGGAGTTAATGCCCAGCGGGCTGTTTTTCTGGGCTGAGTTCTTCTCTGCACTCTTGCTGGTGGATCCAGGGCCACTAGCGCCCATATTCCAGCGTCTCCCACCAAACAGCTCGATAGCATGGGCCAGTGTGGGCCCCTCAAATCTACCGTCCTCCTGGAAAAGGTAGTTTTACAGCAATATAAAACCCACCGATAATATAAATGGAAAATAATCAATGGAATTTAGAAAAAAAGAAAGTTGTGCCTTAGCTGACCTAAAGTTAGCAGAGTTATGCTAAAGGGAAACAGTGCAGGGCATTACAAGAGTCAAAACGGGAATGTGTTTAGTGGTATGAAAACTTCAATACCACCAAAGTCCTCCAATGTGAACTTCTATAATTCAACACTGAGAACACAAAATTTGTGCAAAAATCTTTATTTAAATGCAGACTAAACTGGTTTGCCATGTCTACCAGTCTGGCCAGCTGGTGGTAAGCTGGTTGGCCAGTTGACCTGCCAGCTAACAAGTGCCCTAAACCCTTCTAAAACGATCAAACCAGACCAGCATGACAAATGGAAATCAGCTTGGTGGCTAGCTACTGTAAGACCAGCAGACCTTTTTTTAGAAGGGTGGTTGTTGTAATTGTTGCAATCTTTACCATGTTTAAGGGATGAATGAGCTTAACATAAAAACAAGCAATTTGCTAGCTGTAATGTTTTACATCAAATTCAAACATTTAAAAAATATTAGTAAAATCCTCACATCAAATACAACAAAATCTGGTATTTTAGGTCTACTTGTACAGTGTTCTCACTTGTATTTGATAAATGCACTTGAATAAATGTAAAAGTACCTGGTACAAACTAACATACTGCTTTCGCAGCCATTGCAGTCTCTGGTCAGGAAACTTCCTGATCTTCCTGATGGCATTGAGCAGCTCCTGGAGGCCCTCGTGCAGCATTTGTGCCGTGTGTCTGGGGGCCACAAAGTGCAGGAGCCTGTTGTCTGTGGTGTGAAGTCCATATAGCAGCGTGACACCATTTTCACCAGGGTTCATGTTACATAGTTTGTGCTGCAGGCACACATAGTTAACATCCACTCCAGGGTGACCCATAAACACGCCCTTCACCACGTTAAGGTCTAGGAGTCCATCGGTCAGTCCGCAGTGCACAGGTTGGCCCAGAGGTAAGTGGTCTGGGGATGGTGGATGTCCCATGAAGCCTCTGGCTTTTCCACCTGTGCCACAGCTACTGTGGGACTTGGACCAGGTAAGGAAGCAGTTATCGGGCTGTAGATGGAGGAGACAGCGGGAGGTGAGATGGGTCTCGGGGTCGTAGTGGATAACAGTTGCTCCCTGGAGCAGGAACTGGTGGATATCCGGCTGAAGAGAGAGCACGTACCAGGGGATGAGCTCTGTACCGTGGCTAAATAGTCCACGCACCTCTTCTGTGGCCTGGAGGTTTATGTCCTTAGTCAGCTCAAGTGGGTCCCCTTCAGAGTCTGAGAGGTCTCCTACTAAAAACCTACAAAAATTAAATGAAGCAGGTGAAGCAGAAATAAAGAATCAAGTGACTGAATAAACAGAACTCTGCCTGGGAAACCTCTCACTGTCTTGGAAGAGGTAATGCCATATTAGTCTTGCAAAAGGAGTTGACAGGAGCTTAGATTATTGAAGAGCACTGTCTATCTATAAGACACAAATTTAGGGGCCGTTATGGAACATAATACAATGCTATGAGTTAAATTACTTTAAATCGTGCACTGTGGCAGAGTTGGCATCTTGAGCTTAAATGTGGTTGTGGTCTGCATCTCATTTACTCTGTGTCTTGGTCTGGATATGAGTCTAAGTTTGTGGTCTCAGACAAGACTGCAGTCTGTTTCCAGAGAGTAATGAGGGTGATAATAACCTCAACCACAGGTTTGCACTCTATCTGCACCATTATAGAGGATCCCATGTCTCTTAATGACTACTTAGCCTCAGTGTCTGAAATGAATGGTGGAATAAATTCTGCATTATCTCCATTTAATTAAAATGGACAGTCTGGTTCTTGGACCAGCAGTTTTTGCCTGGACTTAGAGCATTGATCTGTGTTATAGGGGATTGGTATTGGTCTGGTCCTCGGAATTCTGGTACTGGTCTGGGTTTTGCGTATTCAATTGGGTCTTGGTCTTATGTTCTTGGTCTTGGTCTTATGCTGGTTATTGAGGGGTCTAGTCTTGGTTTGGTATTGGGGGTTTGGCACTGGTCGGTCTCATAAAGGATTGGGGGAATGGTCTGGGCTTTGGAGAATCTGGTCTTGACTTCAACTCTGCACTGTGGATTCAGAGGAAGGAAATCCATGCATTTCTAAGTGAAAACACACCAAACCCATACAACTGAAACACTGCATGTCACTTAGAACCCAATGCAGTTAGTGCAACCATTGAAGCACAATCTGGCAACTTACAGTACACGCTCTGACCCAGGTCCTTTTCTTGAGAGTGGACAGTAAGGGAGGGTTGAATTGAAGGAGGGTTGATTTGAATGGAAGAAAAAGACAGAAGGTAGTGTTTTGAGAAATGAAAGTAGGATCTGTACCCAAACACAGCATCCTCAACTTTGATACATTTGTGGTATAAAGTCAGCCCTGCAACTGGAAGAGGTACTGGGAGAGTATAAAGAAGTACATCAAAGCCAAGCTGCTCAAGATTCAGTCTCTTGAAAGATGAAAATGCTTGGGATGGAGTCTACAACAAAGGCAATGAGATTCTCCAGAGACACAGTATTAACAACCGATATGAGCACCTTCCTGCGGACAACAAAACTGCCTCAGCATTGAGGACAAACAGAACTACAAACTCACTGCTTTCTGCTCTGTACGTAGGTCAACATGCATAAACAAACTCATGAGAACAACATGTTCCACTGAGAAACATTGCAGTCAAATGGAAGGTCTTTGGAAATCTTTTCATAAATTGATAAGATGTTTAAAGGTTCAAAATAAACTCTGAGCACTCACATGCTACAGTAGTTCTTTCATTCTCTTTTAAATGATCTAAAGGTTGTCAAGAAAGGAAAAATAACCTTCATAAAAAACATATCAAGACTCATTTGAGTACCACATACTGTAATGGAGAGACTTTTTGTCAGATATTATTTATTTAAGCTAAAGTGGGGGTTTTAAAAAAAACCTTGAAAATGAGTTATTTTTCTCTTTCCAATGCTTTTGGGTTTAGGATTTTGTGTATTCTTGTGGTGACCCCAATAACAGCCAAATAGAGTTGCTATGAAGTCATTATCCTGAGGTTTCATTTTACAGTTTAGGTGATTGACTCAAATAAAACTTTAAACTTAAATATGTCCATGTTCAACAATGGCAGACATCAAATCAAATCACACACATCTAGTGGTTCCTCCACCAGTCAAGCAACTCCCATTGAGATTCATGCGAATGCTAGGTATTATATATCGCCTTGCTTAACACAGATAAGTGCAAAGAAATAACCCAAACCTCTATGCAGAGAGCCTATTAATTAGGGCCGGGTAAAAAATATTGATATCTCGATATTAATCTATTCTATTTTTACGGAACGATATCGATTCTTAAATCCCAAGTAGGGCTGCACGATAAATCGCATGCGATATTTAACGCGCATCTCATCAGTAAAGCCAGTTCTGTAATCAGCGGTAAATCTCCATCACCTGCGGGCTTTCACATTGAGCAGCATTAACTACACAGAGCCGTTGTTCACTGACAAGTTGCGCAAAACCACGTTCTGACAAGATGCACATTAAATATCGCATGCGATTTATCGTGCAGCCCTAATCCCAAGAATCGATTAGTCTAGCCTGCTTTCAGTTAATGGACGGAACGTTGAAAAGGCACTTCCCATCCAATATATCGCAATAAGCATTGTGCTTTGGTACTTTTAATATAAAACAAAGTCTCAGATTTCAAATTCTGTCCATTGTATTGCAGTATTCAAACAATAAATGCCGTTTTGGCGCTGTTTAATGTGGAGTGACAGATCGCTTTAGCACCTCAGTTCAACAGAGTAGACGCAGCAGCGCGAGGTGCACGTGAACTGATCATCTTCTCCACATTAATACCAGCTTCAGCACAAAATAAGCATGACTAAACATCCGAAGGTAAGTTAAAAGAAAGAGTATAACTTTACAAGCTGTATCCTGTCTCATGTAATCACTCAATCGGTGTTTCAGCCTCGCAAAGACGTTAATATAACGGCTTGTAAACAATGTCACGTAACGTCACATTTACCTCAGAAAGCATATTCGGTGACCATAAACTCATTAGTCAGATAGAAAAATAAACTGTAGAGAGGGGCATTTTGCTAAATATATGCACCAAATAACATATTCATTATAAATTTTACTGTTCTTCAAGGTTTAATTTATGTTTGAATAAATCCATCAAGTTTTTATGACAGCCACCATTATGTTTATATTTAAAAAAAAAAAAAAAAACTAACTGAAGTAGAAGTATTATTATGTAATTGTAACTTTATTATTTTAAAAACTTCATTAAGTGTAATTTTAACAAATCAGTCAATTTTAACCTTCAATATTAAAGTAATGTAACTTAGTACCATCTCGTGTATATTTTACAGCATTAGTCAAGAGATTTTTTTTCCTTAAGAAAATTTGGCATGTAGCCTATATCCAAAATAATCTATATTGAATCGAATCGGTAATCAAATCGCAAGCTTGTAAACGAGAATCGAATCGAATTGTGAAATTTGTGTCAAAACCCAGCCCTACTATTAATGGTATTAAAACAAACTGAAAATGCCTCAGTGTATATGGATTAGACTAAACACATCATATATCTGCAAACAGGGTCCAAAATTAACTCACTGGCTTCTGCTCTTGTCTTTGAAAGAATTTTTGGGGCAAACTGTGATCTCTTGTGCCTTCTCCTCAGGCTCCTCAGCCTCCAGGCTTCGGTTGCAGCTGCGAATCGTCTGCAGAATATTACTGACGGTCACCTCTTTGTCTGAGCTGTGGAGTCCATCGCTCCCAACCCTCTGCAGGAAGTGCTGCTGGCCATTGTAGTCGGTGACAAACTGTGTAAAAAAAGGTAAAGAGCACTTCACCACAGAGACTCCACACAAAAGAAAATAACCACAATTATGGACAATACGAGTGGATTTGTGGGCTTTAAAAGCGTTCATGGGTGATTTAATAGTCACCTAAGTGACAAAATGTCTTTTTCCTGGTTGAATCACTTTAATGTGATTTTTGTAAAGCCAGGAAGCAATTCAGCAGGCATGTTAAATGTTTGATGAAAAGGTAATTGCTCCAGCTAGCCAAAATGGTCTCAAGATTATTATTGTAACTGTAAAAGGCAATTAAATTCAACCGTGGTGATACAATTTCCTGTGTTAGTCATCATGACTCTTTGGAAGCACCTAATCCTCACCTCAACAGGATCTTCTTCAGAATCAAATGATGGACGGAGTCCAATAATGCTGGCCGCACCATCCAAAGCCTCACTAAGTTCCTTAAGGAACACGCCACAGAAGGGCACCACTTTGCATCCTGGGATGTTGAGAGCACGGTTGACCACTTTCTTGTACTCAGATGATGATTCATGCTGGGCCATGGCGTCCTTCAGACCACGCATGGTCTCAATATCTGCCTGGTCCATGAACTGCCACATCTTCAGCACTTTGCGAGACCTGGGGAAAGAGTAAGCAGTGAGCAAGGTTGTAGGGACGTAATTCTGGGCGCCCTGTTAGTATATTGCTCAAGGGTTCTGAACATTTTTGTTTTCAAATGTAATTTAAAAGTTAATTCAGGGATGCAGTCTTGTAGATAGTGTACATGCTTTGACCTCATAGATGATTATGTGTCACCACAGTTAGATTTTGGTTTAAGTCATATAATATTTTTGTATAATAGCCAGTAAACTGTATTTTTGCTTTTCATGTTGGTACACAAGTGGGGAAAAAAGCTAACTGACTCCACTGCTAACTCCAAGAGGTTGTTACATTTTCTGACTGTAGTGAAAACGGCCTTGGAGGACTTTAGTATTAAATTTAATCTTCATGGTATAAAGCATAAAACCTTTGATAGAGGACTAAAATCTTCAGCAAGAAAACAAAAAATCCCTTTGGAAGTGGGAAAAGACAGAGCTGGATGAGAGTGAACTTTATAAAAAATTATAGATAACTAGTCCAATAAGAAAGTAACTTGGGTTGCAGATTAGCAGTAATACTAGCAGTGAGACTCATCCTTTGGCATGTTACAAATGTGCTGTTAAAAACAAATCAATGATCCAAGAATGTTTCTCACTTTGTTAAGTATAACACAATACAAACAGAGAGGACCATTTATTCTCAAAGGATTATTTATTTTCTAACCAAGCGATTCAAGGCATCATGCCATACCTGAGACCTGCCAAGAATTCCATGACCGCATTGTAGTTGCCGAGTCTTTGTACGATCAATCACCACTCACATTTTCTTTAAACACCAAGTCACAGAATCTGACCATCTCTAGTCCTGAGCGCTTATAACAGCAATCAGTTTGAGCACAAATATTTATGCGATGGCGTGTTGTAGCTAAAAACACCTCACAGAAAGTCAGTCAGTTACATAAACATTTCTGCTGGGGCACGGATGGTCAGGGACGTTTAATACGAGGGGACACTGGAGCTCATGCCATTTTGCCAGGATTCCACCGGACAGACTGCTGCTCTTGAGTTACTGCACAGGCCGGCCAGCTAGCAGTGAACAGACAGCAGATTTGACGCATTAAAAACTTACATAAGAGTTGCCAGAGACACTGCACCCTGGGCTTCAAAGGCGGCCGCTGGTCAAGTGTCCGAATAAGACCACAAACAACTGACTGCAACAAAGACAACAGACCACAAACCCTAGGTTGTGCATGGACACCCAGTGGCAACACTTCAGGGATGTATTATGTGGGTTACAGCATAACCAAAATAACACATCACATTGCTGAAGCAGGAATGAGTCCACAGGAAGCATTAGGGTAAAAGAGCAAACCAAATCCACTAAAAGAGGAATCCGTGACTTGTTCGCAAAGGACACTAGGATTAACGGTGGGAGGGGTGAGGCACAGTCCTGTTATGTGATCCATTCACTTTATGCTCTTACAGTATTACATCGCATCGAGGCCTATGATCTGAACTCCCTTCGGCCAGGAAACCCAGGAAACAAAAAAAAATGTTTCTTCTAAACAACTATGCAATGGAAAGTTAAGCAATAACTTTCAAGGAACTGCATTCAACAATTAAAGATGACTCCTTAGAGCATTAGCATATACTTGACAAGATATAAGATTGATTTCAATATGAAAGCCATGTGAAGGTCACCTTCCTGAGTTGTGAGTCTTACATAACTAGCACTGACTGTCAAGGCTGTAAGCATCTGCAAATCTTTTTTTCAAGTTATTCCCAATCATAACCTGTCTAGATACCTACTCTTACATGAAACATAACCAGCTTTGATGATTCAATATTTGAAGTTTTCATGTTTAAAGTCTCACATCTGTTTGAATAAGTAGGTACACATTGTGAATGTAAAAAGATCCAAGTAAAACAGACAAAACAACCATAACAAATGTCCTTCGGTGTCCAACTCAATTTTTCTTCCAAAGCCAAAACCACTCTAACGCCCTTACGTTCCCTTTGGAACGAATCTGCACCATTAATGAATGCTCACCTCATTGAATCTTGTGACGAGGTCTTCTACCGTGTTGTGGTGGTCATTCTGAGTGGGCATGATGGGGGCGGACAGGGAGGCTTTCAGGTGCGGGTGGCGTTTGTGGCACTCTGGGCTTCCCAGGTCTCGGGTGAGAAAGCTGAGGTAGTCAAGTGGGAAGACACGGCGGTACAGCTGCTGCTCCTGTTCTGTCAGGATGGTGGCGATTTCCTCAGGGAACTGGATGAGGTGCCGCAGATCGGCTAGTTCCTTACTGATGCCCATGGAGCTGCACAGCTGCCGTTCTGAGAAAGACAAAGACAGTGGAGTATACTGAATAACATATGTATGGACAGGTAGCCATTAATTCCCTTCTCTAATTCTAATGTCCTTCTCCGATCACACTATATCCCAATTTTCTGCTATTTTCTTAACATGATGACTGACAACTGGATTTTGCTGCTTTGCAAACATGGCAGTTAAAATGGCATTCGCCCAGTGGGATCTGCATGGTTTGCCATTCTAAAGACACACCCCACTCCATTCTAAAATCTCTATATCTTCCTCCTCATTTTATGGCATCATAGAAGCTGCCCGGCACAAAGCTTGTTCCAAACGGTGGGAGGAAAAATTATGCCATCTAAGAGGTATCTTATTACTAAGATTTTTGGCTATATTGTAAGGTAGCTTTACATGCATCCTTCAGAATGCATTGTAACAACCTCTGTGAAAAAAATAAATGGTGGTGGGTGACAAGGGAGAAACACTGATAATCAACCAAATTTAGTTCCAATTTAATTTACAAAGAACTTTGAATCAAAAGTAGAGCACACAAATTTCCCTATGAAGATGGTAGTCGCATATGAGGGTCCATTCCAGTTAGGATGCAGAAGGTAGTTGCCTATATAGTCAGCAGGTAGCGAGGCAACTCACTAGGTTTTGGAACAGAGCCATTATATAGGCCATTTATTACATGCCCCTAAAATGGTATTTACAAATTCAATAAACCATTTTCACATCAACATATGAATCCATCTTCTTTATTGCCTCACGACAGGGTTGGTGATAATTGTGCTCAGTACAGTGCCGTGCAAAGGACAAAGATAAACATAGACATAGATAAACCAATCGTAATACAATAAAGCACAGTATTTACATGGTAATTAAAGAGAACCGGAGAGTACCACAAAAGACAAAACAAATGACTTTAATAATGTATACTGTGTGACTCATCAGCGCAGTCTAGTAAAAGTGAAAGACGCCATGCAGGATAGAGTTGTAAAAATTCCCAATAGCCCATATACTGTGACACTGATGGATCATTTCTTCAACATCACCGGGCACAGTATTTTTTCATGAAGTCTCGGCACATTTACATATCTCCACTGTTTCCTCCACTCTCGCCTGAGATTGCGATCAGAAAACGGTTATGCTGGTATGGCGCTCAAGGGCAGGTCAAGCAAAAATAATACAAATACTGTGAATCATGCTTGTCTGGATAGCATCAGCTGTCAAAAGCAGTGTTTGCAGACTCCTTCAGCTCAACGCGCCGCCATGGCGACCGCTGGAACAGGAGGAGCAGAGTGAGAGTGCTGTTTGATTTGTGTATTCAGTCTAGTCTCCTGATAGAACATGAGGGTGTGTTTCTTAGTACACACTAAGACTCTAAGTATCCTATCAAAACCTCAGTTTGAAACGCTCTACATTTTAATGTTAGCATGTCACTAAGTTAATGACACAATACTTCAATAAAAGGAAAATGCACAAATAATATATAAAATATTATGAATCAAGAATATAAGTATCAAGACTGTATGCTGTCTAGGTGAGCAGCTCACTTACATATGAACAAATTCTTTGCAGTATAGCTCGGAAATGCAGTTACATTTACAAGATTACAAGGAATCAAACTTTAAAAAATATCAATAATGATAAGTTTTAATACACCTGAGCTGTGCTGTCTTTATATTGCTTCAAACTAAACCAATGGCCTATCATACTTAGAGTTCTTCTGAGGTGAGTTTTAGGCACATCATCTCTTCAATATGCGGTCTCATATCCATTTGCATTTCATTAGCCATCACATGTGTTCTTTTCTCTTTGCACATGGCATCTTTTGAAGCAAAATGGAAGGAAATGAATACACCGCATTAGGCTGTGAATGAGATGCCCTGATCTTTATGCATGGGCCATTCATGGTGCAGGTCTAAAGCAGACAGGAATCAGCGCTCGTTTTGTGAACGATGGCAGACAGCCTGCTTTTGGGACACGCAGAGCAGCTGAGGTGCACCTCCTACACATGTGTATATGCTAGAGGAGCACAACAAGTTGGAAAAAATAATTGTTATTCCACTTACAACTGTTGCAATAAACAAATAGTGAAAAGTGTGGATTACATCATTGCTTTTGGGTGCAATCCCATTTTTGTCATAATCAAGCAGCCTTAGTGTATGTTTATGTTCACACTCTGTAATATACAATTAACAGGGATGGCAGATATCTAAGGATTTATTTAGACATCATGCTGAAACAACATATCAGCCGGCCTAAAATCAGTCAAGAGCTTTAGGAGAAAAGAGCCTTTGTCTTGGACAGAAATAGTCCGGTTTATGCATGTTTGATTTACAACCAGTGAGTTTGACTTACACTGCCATCCCTAGTATCCCATCTCCTATGGAGAATAAATCATTAATAGAAAGAGCTTCTGCAAAACAATTAACCTGTAACTGCCTAGGTGGACAAACTACCTATATAAACCATAAAAACATTACACTGACGGTCTTGAACATGTAGGGGAGACTGAAGGCAACTGTAACAAAATTTCTTTAATCACAAAAAAGTGATGTCACTCATTTAAATGCACAGTAAAGTTTCCTCTCTGGTGATTTAGTCTATTAATACTACATGGACATTATACTGTAAATGCTTCATGTACCAAACATTAGCAGATAGATTTGCAGTATTCAATGAGTTATGAAGGTAAATGCCCACAGACTCTTCTACAACCTTCAGAAAAAGTATTTGAAATGAAGATGCAAGAAAAAACTAGAAATAGACAGTTATTCAGAATAACCTTGAGCAGCATGTTTCATTTTGTGTAACAAAAGAGTGAAAGCCTACAGAACATTGCAACCAAGCAAAATAGAAATCTCTTTCAAAATCACTTGTGGATGTACCATTAAACAACATACACATTTGAATTAATCAATTGCTCAGTTTAGTATTAAGCTTTATTTATTATTTCACTTTAGGTGCAAGGCAGTTTAAAAGGACCCAATCTACCTAACCTAATGTATTAATGAAGAAAGGGCTGGATTGCGAAGAAAGCATACAATAAAATAAAATATAAAATTAATTCAAATTAAATCATATTCTTATTCTTCCATTTTCTGTTTACACAGACTTTTTTTCTTCAACTACTGTCTATATAAACACTGAATTTGTTCCATCCTTTAAAGGGACAATCACTAATTCCTGTTGTCATACCAAACCTATCCGACTTTTTGACTACGGTTGCCAGCTCTCAACGCAAACAAATTATGCAACCTGAATCAAACATTAAGGCGTATTCCCTGTTGATTATTGCATACCTGGCATAAAATATGACTAAAAATCAACACCACAACAGTGTTTCCAGGGTTGTTGAATAGTGTTAGACTAGTGTTTTTCTAGTTTCATACACCAAAAACCTTGAGCTGCCAAGTACAGTACATGACTAACTCGCCATACAGCAAAAAACAAACCACAACACTTTAGTCCTTGACACCAAGCACTGGCCACCAGAACAGCACTATTGATTCTATATCGAAAATAACTCCACAAGTGACAGCACTGCCTGTTGTTGTGTGTATGGTAAAATTGAAGCGTCACTTACTGAGCAGCCTGTAGTCCATCCTCTGTGAGTGGGAGTGTTTCATGGTTGTGGCCGGAGTGGCAGTCGGCTCACTGACTCCCTGCTTCACGCCGCAGCGGCGAGAGGCGCTCAGCCACATTTAAACTCAGCCTGACTGCAGCTGCCAGCTCTCTACTACCACAAATCTGACTCGCTGCATATCTCACTCGCTCATACACACACACACACACACTGTTTGGCCACTCGTACTCCCCTCCCTCTCTCTTGCTCTCACACACACACTTACTCTCTCCATTGGCTGCTCCTTCCTGGCAGGTCAAGTTACTCATAGATGAAAGCAACACATAGTGTTAAGTGCAGGGCGAGGAAATCGAGCACCCAAACATGCTCTGATCACCAGTAAAGAGCTCGCCGGTTGACTTGGGTAAGAGTCCAACGAGAACTTGATAGGCAAACAATGACTTTATAGCCTAAATTTGGCCATGAGACTTTGGGGATGTGCTTTAGCATGCTCGTTTCCATCATTAACTTTCCCAGTACATCCTAAGAGAGACTGATCGAAGAAAAGAGCTCATCCAACAGCTTTATGGTCCATATGCATGCAAGCTCCATTAAGCACAGAGAAAAGCTGTCCAGTAGATACAGGAATGGCATTTATAAAGCCATTAACAACTGGAATCAATTGTATCCCTTAAGACATGTCAAAGTCATTGTTGCTGAATATAGAAAAGACCTCTAACAACTTCAATAACTGTTGTGAATATCAACACAGTCATTCTGGCGCAGGGCTGGGCGATATGGCTAAATTTACGATATACAATATACATTATATCTCAGTATTTCTTTATTTAAAAAAAAAAAAAACTTTCACATCCTGCCAAGTGTTGTCCAACGAAAAAATACATATTAAAGGCTATGAAAACAAATAAAGTGAATGTAACCATGTAGGCTATCCTATATATTATGTGCAAAAAATGGTTAAAATCACATTACATTATAACATTATAATCTAAAAACACCTACATTTGTCACATTTATTGTCCAACTACAAATATTTCAGCCAAATATAAGCTATATTTAAGTCAGAATTATTGCGCTCCTATTTCATTGCACGCCGTCTGTTTGGTGCGCATGCGCGCTGCGGCGCTTGTTCAGTGAAGTCTGTGAAGTTTAGCAGAGAATTGCAAAGCAGAAGGCTCATGCACCTGTGAAATGTAAGTTATGCACTGAGGAAAACAGCACATCTCACACACATTAAACCGTGTGAGTGTATCTGTCAGCACCACATGAGTCAGTCAGAGCATTTGACGGGGCAAGCAGCTTTAAACTATACATGTTAACTATATCTTACGAGTTACTTAAAGCCCTTAATATAAAGCTTGTCTCATGTTTAGGACAAATTGGATTATGCACTTTTCCTGCAGCAGCTCACACCGTGTCTTCCACTCGCTA